GAATCACAATGTTTCCAGGATCACCCTTCTTTTTAGGTAGCTCACTCATCAAGACTTCTGCAACTTCAGCCAAATCCTTCCTAGCAGCAAAAAGGCCCTTAAGCAAGTTGAAGTATTTAGGCGTTTGAAGTATTGTTTCCACAAATGGCACATTAACTTGTAGAGCGTTAACATGATTCATGAAGGTTCTGTATGCTTCAACTTTTTCTTCAGGCATAGCTTTGGTTGGGTATGGCAGTGGAGGCTTATAAGGTTTCGAAGAACTGATAGGTTTTTCAATTTCGCATGGACTCGTCGAGTCCAAAGGAGTGACTCGGCGAGTCGGGTTGGGTTTGGCTGGCTCCGATTCTTCTACCTGTTCTTCCTTATTCTTGGAGATCCTTAATGCTTCTGTCAATTTTTCTTTACTGCTGGAGGTTATTATGCTTACGTTCTCCATTCTTGGATTGGGTTCGGTGTTGCTCGGAAGTTGGCCCGGTCTTCTTTCATTCACTTGATGTGCAAGCTGTCCAAGCTGTTTCTCAATGTTGAGAATGGATGCTTGCTGATTCCTCAACATGTTTCTGGTTTCTTGCATTGCTACATCGTGATCATTGTGTCTTTTCTCGAACGCGGTTATGAACCTTATGAGCATATCTTCTAAATTTGCCTTCTTTTCTATCACCGGCTCTTCCCTTTGATAGAATCCCCTCTCCCTCTATTTGTATTTCTCCTCCTTAGCCTTTTTATATTCTTCGTATGGGAGCCATTCCTTCTTCGGTTTCCTCCAGTCTTCATCGTATCTATCGCCACTGGAATAGAATACTTGAGCCTTTTTATTTCCGTTCTCGTCTCGATCACAATCCTTGGTGAGGTGGGGGCCGCCACAATTTTCGCATCCTACCCTAATAGCATGGATTGTTTGATCCTTTTTCGTCATTCTTCGGTCTAGGCTATCGAGTTTAGCTATTACCGCTGCCATGCTATCGTTCATCGAGTTCACTGCTCCACGACTCACTTCGTTCCTCGGATTGTGGTATTCTCTAGAATGCTTGGAGAATTCTTCAATTAATTCCTTTATTTCCGGAGGCGGCTTTCTGGTGAGCGGGCCTTGTGAATCGAATAGTTGCCTCGTGGTGACATTAACTCCATCATAAAAGATGGAGACCTCTTGTTGGCTATTAAGGTCATGGTGTGGGCAATTTCTAAGTAGGCTCTTGTACCTTTCCCAAGCTTCATAAAGAGATTCTCCGGGTTGTTGCTCGAAGTTGGTAATGGATTTCTTTAGCTTGGCTATCTTGGAAGGTGGGCAAAAATGATCTATGAACTCTTCTTTCATCTTGGCCCATGTGGTGACCGATCCGGGAGGGAGTGACTTTAACCAATCTTTTGCAGCTCCCTAAATGTGACAGTAGAAGAATGCGAAGAAGCTGGAT